TGGTTCTATGGTGCTATGGTTCTATGGTTCTGTGGTTCTATGGTTCTATGGTTCTATGGTTCTATGGTTCTATGGTTCTGTGGTTCTGTGGTTCTGTGGTTCTATGGTTCTATGGTTCTGTGGTTCTATGGTTCTATGGTTCTACGTTTCTATGGTTCTGTGGTTCTATGGTTCTATGATTGACCACCAGAGAATTAAGGGGAAGCACCAAGAGATGGCTGAGGACCACCAGGGAGGATGTTGGGAAACCATCAGTAGATGGCTGGAAACAGCTGGGACGTGCCTGGGGACCAACAGCGAATGGTTGGGGACCACGAGGAGATGGTTGGGGAATGCAGGGTAACCATCAGGAGATGACTGTGAATCACCAGGGAATGTCGGGCAACCGAAAGATAATTGAGGACAACCAGGAGATGACTGGTGACCATCAACAGATATAGGGTAAGCACTGGGACCTCAGAGAATCAGTCCTTGGTGCATGCTGGGTCTGACAGAGGCAGGGCTGAGGCACTCACCAACTTCTGCATGTTGGCAGCAGGCGGATGCACTTTGCTCCTCAGCTTGTTGTGCAGCGAGAGTACCAGGAATGTCTCCTTCTCGCTGAGAGCTGCAGAGGGCAAGGGGCAGCTGGGGATGGGGCCGAACGGGTTGCCGGTCCCATGCGGCAGCCTGGGTTATGGGAAGGCACCCGGGTCTCCATGGAGACCAGAGGGGAGTGAAGGAAGCACAGGAGCACAAAGGGGACAGGGGCTGGGGGGTAGCAGAGACTGCAGGGAATGCACCCGATCCTCGGGTGGGGGGGGGGGGGGGGGCGACACAGCACTGCCTTCATCGTGCTGCACTTGTCACCAGCCCAGAGCCCATCCCCAGCCCCAGCCCCACATCCCCAGCCCCACATCCCTATCTCCAGCCCCACAACCTCATCACCACCCCAGCCCCCTGCCTGTTTAGGTACGGGGCAGGGGAACATCCACCCCATCCTTTTGGGAACAACGCTCAGGGCTCCCGAGCTGCTCTTTGCCCCGATGTGAGCAGAAAGCCCCCCCCACCCCCTCTTTCCATTACCTCGGGGTCCCGGAGCCAGTGGGGACAGCTTCTCCGACTCACTCACCCTCCAGGCCAGGCAAGCCAGCAGCACCAGCAGCAGGCCAGCCAGACCCCTGCTGTCCTCCATGCTCACCAACGGGAGGACTGGGGAGGGAAGGGAGGATTTGGGGAGGGACGATCCAGTCCTGCGTGCCTGCGTGTCTGCTTCCAAGATTTGATCCTATTCAGGACTTCAGACAGGCGCTGCTGGTCAGCTTGAACAAAAGGTTGACGGGTGAGTAATAGCTCTGTCAAAACAGTCCCAGGCGGTGGAGACAGCTCGGGGGGCCCCTCAGTCCCAGCCCCGCTACCGCAATGGGGTCGGGAATGCAGGCACTGGGCATCGCCCCCCAGCCCCACCGCCTGTTTTCCTCCTGCTCCATGAATTAAACATGCTGGGGAGGTAATGCACACTGCTGGGGAGGGAGCCGTGGGCACAAGGCCAAATTCCCGCTCCAGTGAGCTGGGCAACGCGGATATGGGGTGGGCGACGGTGGGAGGGATGCTCGGGGTTGGGCAGGGGGCCCAGAACCCCCTGTTTGAGTGTTCTGTCCCAGCTCGGGGGTCCCTTGGCACAGGGCAATGTGAGAGTCCCAAAACAAAAGGTTAGCGTAGCCCATGGGTTTCCTGCAGAGCCTCCAGCATCCCCACCAGCTGTGCCTTTTGGGATGGGGAGGGATCCGAGCCCCCCCCCTGCAGCCCAGCCCACGTCCCTTCTGTATGCCTTCCTGCAATGAGGGGCAACGCTGGAGCCTCCCATGCAAGGCAGTCTGGGATCCTCCCTCACCCTAACCCTAACCTTAACACTATCCCTGACCCTAATGTTATCCCTCACCCTAACACTGATGCTGATCCTGAGCCTAACCCAACCCCAGGCTGCAATGCAGCCCAGCTACCCCCCATCCAGTGCAGACCCCAAAGCCACCTCTGGTCCCGGGAGCCCTCCCCATGCTTGGAAGATGCTCTGGATCAGCCCCATACACACAGCCATTGTGCCACGTGCACTGAGCACCGGTGAGGCTGTGAGCACGGTGACAGCCACCGCCTGGTCCCGGCCATCCCATGTGAGCAGCAGCACGCCGCAGCCGCAGGGAAAGCCAGCATCTGCTGCCCGTGTGACAGAAAAGGCCCCAAACCTTCTGATCTGTGGAGAGGGAAGGGAGAGGCCGGTGCTGGTGCCAAGGGGAAACTTTCCTATGGCTTGGGCAGGGGAAAAAACAACAAACACTCAGGCATGCAGGCACACACAGAGAATAAATCCGGTGAGCGGAGGAGCAGGCTGCGAGCAAGTGACTGAAGGAGGTTGAGCAGGGCTGGGAGTTTGGAGAACATCCAGGAGCCCCCAAAATCCAGCAGGTCTGTGGGTAAGGGTGGCTGTGGGGTGATGCCACACGGTGGTCACAGTGCCATGTCACTGCATGGAGGGCTGTGGGACAGTGGTGGGGGTCTCTGGGTGATGTGGCTGCAAGAGCTCGGGGTGAGGAAGGGAACACCACCTTGATTCTGCTCTGATGGAGCTGTGGTGTGGGGCAGGATGGAATATTGCTGTCTCATCCTTGCAGCCAGCCGTGCCACGATGCTCATCCTGCTGCCAGGCTGGGTGGCCCTGTGCATCCTGCAGCTAGCCCTCAGCAGAACCCAGGTAAGGACCCTGCTCCCGAGGTGGGCATGTTAGGGCTGCCCATGGACAAAAGGTGGTCTGGGGGCTTTTCTGTATCAGGGAGGGTGCTGGAGCCACCTGGAGGGCTTCAGGCATCACAGGTGCTGATATAGCAGCAGGCAGAGGGGCTGAAGTTGGCACAGATGCAGAAGCAAAGGCAGACCTTGCAGTGGGATACAGAGGATGAGCCCAGCTGTCCCCAGTTGGCATGGGAGGGGACACAGCCCAGCCCAGCGGGTGATGGGGAGGGCCCTGTGTTCCCCCAGGAGTGCCTGAGCCACCAGCAGGTGCTCAGCACCGTGCGGCAGATGCAGAAGCTGCTGTCGGCACAGGAGGCTGCCCACCTCCAGGGCACGCGCAGCCTCAAGAAGCAGCTCTCAGTGCTGCACAGCCGCATCCAGAGGCTCGCTGGCAAACGTAACGGTAACGCTCGGCATCCCCATCACACCAGCTCCGACCCAGGGATAGGGCTGGGCTCCCATCCTCAGCCGTGTCCATCTGTCCATCCGCAGACACCTGTCCGCAGCTGGCGGTGCCCTTGAACGGGCGGAAGCTGGGCCGCAGCGCACGGGTGGGCCACGACGTTCACTTCATCTGCAATGCTGGATTTCAGCTGGTGGGCTCGGAGTCGCGCACCTGCCGGAGGGACCGCACCTGGAGCGGCACCCAGCCCTTCTGCAGAAGTGAAGTGCCGTGGGCTCGGGGTCGTGGGATTGCACGGGGAGTGATCTTGCATCCCCTGCAGCAGGACTGCATCCCAGCAGGGCTGGGAGAGGCAGGAATTGGCTTTCCCTGCCCCTGGTCTCATGGTATTTATGAGCTCTTTCTCCGCAGGTATTGATGAGTGTTCCAGCAACCCGTGTGCCAACGGTGGAATCTGCGTGGATGGCAACCAGAGCTACACGTGCCTGTGCCCACGGGGCTGGTCAGGAGCCGGTTGCCAGAGCCCTGTCTATGCCTGTAGGTGCCCTCAAAAACATCCCCAGCTCAGCAGAGGCTCAGATTTGAGCTGGGGTGCCTTATGCATCCCTGGAGCGGTGGAGGATGGAATGCTTGCAGGGCCACGCTGCGACCATCTCATCCTTCCCCACTGGTGACACCACATCCTTCCTGCAGACTGGGTGACGCTGAGCAACTCGTCCTTCAGCCGTCAGCCCCGCTGTGCTGAGGGCCGCCTGGGCTCGCGGCACTGCAGCTGTGATGCCGGCTTCCAGATGCGGGCAGGAGGTGTTTGCCAAGGTACAAAGTGTGAGGAGGGATGAGGCGTGATAGGATGGGGCGCCTCAGCCTCCATCCATCCCCACCCACAGATGTGGATGAGTGCCAGCTTTTCCAGCCTAACCCCCAGACCCGGATCTGCCTCCACGACTGCCTCAACCTCCCCGGCTCCTACCGCTGCCTCTGCCCACCGGGGTACGTGCTCCATGCCGACCGCAACACCTGTGAGGGTAAGAGGAGGGATGCCGAGCACCTACATGGCCGAGAGGATGGACAGCCCCACTCACCCCCTTTTTGCCACTGCAGATGTGGATGAGTGCACTGGCAGCCGGCACAACTGCACCCACGGTGAGCTCTGCATCAACACCTTCGGGGGCCACTGCTGCATGCGCCCCAAGTGCCCCCCACCACGCCACAACACCAGCTATGTCAAGACCTCCAGCTTGTGAGTATCAGGCCATCATCTCAGGGAGGGGACGGGCCCTACCTGTGCTATATCACAGCATCTGAGGGCAGCAAGGAGAGTGCTGGCAGCAAATTGTCACATGTAGCGTGCTTGGCGTGCCGCAGGATGCCCCTTGCCAAAGGGTTTGGGACGCTGGTGGCTGCGGGAGCGGGCGGGAGCACCCAAATACAAGGGAGCTTTATGCAGGCGCTGCATAGTGCTCAGGGCTGCAGCCAGAGCAAAGCACCTCTATCCGGGAGCCATGCTCCAGGCCGGCTTTGCTAGAGCTTTAATCAAATGTCAACAGTACTGATGCCCAGGACCTGGGGGGGAACGACGCCATTTCCCCTCCTCTGTACATTTATGTGGTGCCTTTGGCTACAATTCAACATGCAACTCCCCCCCCCACTGCTGCTTGTGAGACTGAACTGCTTTGTGCACCGCTGGCTCGTTCTTCCTGTCCTGGCACAGCTCTTGCAGCAACCCAAGCAGAGCAGCATCCCAGCTCTGAGCTGCAGATTTGCATCCAGATCCCACACCCAGCCCAGGGACACCTCTCCAAGCCTGGGCATGCTTGGATGTAGCCTTCTTGGGCTGCTCTATCACAGAACATGAGGCTGGAGATGCAGAGCGTGGTTGGTGGTCTCCATAAGCTTGTGTGCAAGCAGGCAGTCTGTTCCCCAAGAGCCAAGTAACACAGTGGGTCCAGGAGAATCTCATGAGGTTCAACAAAGCTATGTGCAAGGTCTTGTACCTGGGTTGTGGCAACCTTCGCTATCGGTACAAGCCAGAGGTCAAGAGGACAGAGCATAGGGGTACTGGTGGGTGGCAGTTGTACATGAGGCAGCAATGTACAACCCTCGCAGCCCTAAACTGCATCCAAAGCAGCACAGCCAGCAGTGCAGGGAGGGGATCTGCCCCTCTGCTCTGTGCTAGGCTGCCCAGAGAGGCGGGGGTGTCCCATCTCTGCAGACTGCCAAGGTTAGGCTGCATGGGGCTCTGAGCACTGATGGAGCTGTGGGTGTCCCTGCTCATTGCAAGGAGTGGGACCAGATGGCCTTTAAGGTCCTTTCCAACTCAAACAATTCTATGATTCTATGAGTGCTGGTTTCCCTTGTCTCCTGGCAGCCAGTGTGAGAGGAACCCCTGCCCCACAGACAGCCGTGCCTGCCGCCTCGCCGCCACCTCCATCTCCTTTCACTACCTGCCACTCCAGGCCAACCGCACCGTGCCCCGCGTCCTCTTCAAGATGTCCACCACCCGCTTTGTGGGTGACAGCCTGCGCTTCACCATCATAGGTGGCCGGGGCCAGGGCGTCTTTGCCGTGCGGCGCTCTGACCGGCAGACGGGAGAACTGGTGCTCAGCAGCCCAGTGGTGGGGCCAGCCACACTGGAGGTGGAGCTGGAGATGAGTGAGTTCTCCCGCAAGGTGCTGCTGGGCAAGCACATCTTCAAGGTCACGGCCTTTGTGTCCCAGTATGAGTTCTGAGATGCGGCTCTGCTGGAGGCAGATGTGGCTCTGTCCTGGGGAGCGGTGGAGTGGGATCAGCGTGGTGATCTCAGCCCTCGTACCATTAGAGGACTCCCGTTCTTGGAATTGGCCTCAGTGGGTCCTTCCAACTCGGGAGGTGCTATGATATCCTAGGATTCCTCCTGCTTGCTCATGGCTGTTAGAGCATAGCAGAAGAACCCCTGCTCATTGCTGATGCTGCCTGGAGGAATCAAGAAGCCGTGCTGAGGGTTACAGCAGGAGGGGACCCATCTGTGCCAGCCTGCTGTGCCTCCTCCTGCCTCGTACTCATCCAATAAAAGAAAACTGCCTGTAAGGAGGGTGTCTTTGCTCCGTGACAAACATCTTTTGCAGGGCCTGGCCAACACTCAGCCCCATGGGCAGGCTGCAGGAACACCAGAAGCATGGAGAGAGCAGCGGGGCTCGCAGCTGGGCCGGTGCCAGCAGCTTTCTGTCCCCTCAACCCACCAACACAGGGCAGGCCATGGGGAAGGGAAAGGCCCTGGGCCTCACACAGGGCAAGGAGCGAGGAGAGCCGCTGTGGACAGGCTCCTGAGGCTGCCCCTGCACAAAGCAGCCGCTGTGCGCAGCCCATAAAGCCCTCCTTGTGCCGCGGGCACCGCTCGCCAGCATCTGAGGGCCCGGCGGTGGGGGGAAATCGCCTCACACGGATGGCCGCCCAGCAACCTCCCATGGCGCACGGGAGCGGCGAGCCGCGCTGAGGCGGGAAGCGAACCGGTGGAGAAAGGCGGGAAACGGAACACTGCGGCGAAACGCGCCCGACGCTTTTTGTCCTCGCGGCGCGCCGTAGCCCGCCCGTTGCCATGGCGACGGGCCCAGCGGCCTGACCCGCCGCTCTCGCTTCTCTAGGCGAGAAGCTGCGGGGCCGGGCCCGTCCCCGTCCCGGCCGCACGGGGCACGCGGGGCGCCCGGCTCCATCACGCCGCCTGCCTCGGCCTCGGGCCTCGCTGCGTGCGGACTGCACGGGGAGACCTGCGGCCTCCGAGCAGCGCTGACTGAGTAAGCCCGGAGCCGTTCGGCAGCGCGGTGCGCGCCGTGCTTTCGTGAGCGAGAAACGTGCCGGGTTTGCTGACGGGACTCAGCTGGAAGCAGAGCGCTGAGAGGCCCTGCGGAGAGACGCGGGCAGATCAGAGGGTTTAACGGGAGCGGTGCCGAAGGTTAACGAGGGGTTAATGGCTGTGCACTGCAGAGCTGAGGCCGTGGGGCAGCGCCTGGCTGCTGTGTGGGCAGGCGATGGGCTTCGTGGCCACCGGGGTCCTTTCCATTCGGAATGTTCTCTGGTTCTGTAGCAGTAATTTCCAGCCCTTTGCTTGCACTGATGCAAGCAGATCTTGTATCTGAGCCGCCCTGCTTGCTCTGATGGTTGCAGTCAGTGCCTTTTGAGATTTTCTGGCACTGGAACCGTTATCAAAATGACAGCAATGACACGAGACAACGTCAAAATGAGACAGTAACGAGCCAGAGACCTCTGCTCCTTGCCTCTCAGCATGCTCCTGTGCCCAGGGACCCGGAGAAGCCCAACCCTGCATTCCCACAGAATGCATAATGGATGCATTTCTTTAGCAAGGCAGGTTCTGTTCAAAGCACAGCCCGGCTCAGTGGCAAGCAGAGAGCTGCAACTAACAGTTCAACACAAACTGAAATAGCATCTGTTTGTCATAGCTGTTGTGCAAACACTCAGACATCAAGAACTTCCCAGTTTATGGTTCATAACTTGTCTTTGCAATTAAATCTTGCTTTCTCATGTTGGCAGCCCTGGTGTTGTAGGACAGCTCAGTAATCTGGCAGCTTGCTGTGTGGGTGCCCTGCATATGTAACTCTGTTTTGTTCTTCTAGCAACAGTTGGCCTTACAGCGGTGTTGTGTGCAATTCCTTTTTCCTCTTTTTGCTCACTTTTTGTTCAGTTTCTAGACTTTCCACTTTGTTGCTGACAAAGGTGCCTCTGTTTCTCTGTAGTGCTGAAGCTGTGATTCCATCTCATGTGCTCCAGGAGGGCCACCTGCTTTCACTTCTCCTCACCAGTTGGAAGGAAAGCATGGCATATCTGAGTCAGGTGGCAGCATTTAGGAAGGGGGGGGGGGAACGGCTGTTTGTGAGGGTGGATAGTGATAAGACAAGGGGGAATGGTTTTAAACTGAGACAGGGGAGGTTTAGGTTGGATATTAGGAGGAAGTTTTTCACCCAGAGGGCGGTGAGGCACTGGAACAGGTTGCCCAAGGAGGCTGTGGATGCCCCAACCCTGCAGGCATTCAAGGCCAGGCTGGATGTGGCTCTGGGCAGCCTGGGCTGCTGGTTGGTGACCTGCACACAGCAGGGGGTTGGAACTGGATCAGCACTGTGCTCCTTTGCAACCCAGGCCATGCTGTGAGTCTATGATTTGTTCTGCCATCGACTGGAACAGCTGTCTGAAATGAAGATGTTCCCAAAAAAGAGCATATCGTGCTCTGTCTCTGGGCTGCCCACCTATGCTCTTTTTACTTGATTTTGGCCTAGATCCATTCAAACACTGTCAAAACCTTCACAAGTCTCCCTTAGCTGAAAGTTTGGCTTGTTGTTTCATGCAGATATCAACACTTGCTTTTAGAATGTGTAATTATTTTTCCCCTTTTGTTCCTATAGATCCTCTTTGCAGAGAGAAGTCTTCCCTCAAATGCTTGTCCTGGTCTCCAACTTTGTTGGAGATGGAGATGTTGGATCTAGGATCAGGACTCAGTCAGAATTCTTTTATATCAATATTTTCTTTTTTCTTTTTATTGCTACAGATGAACATCTGCGACAAACCTCCTAATAAGACAGCTCCAGAGAACTTGGGTGAAGCTGGTCCTAAGGTCCAACGTGCTCGAAGAAATGGCTGGAGCTGGCCTCTGCACCCTTTCCAGATCATTACCTGGCTGCTGTACCTCTTCTTTGCACTGGTTGGCTTTGGAATTCTGGTTCCTCTTCTGCCCCTCCACTGGCTGCCCGCTGGCTATATCGTATCCTTTGGTCAAGAGCAGAACAGGAGCTGTAATGAATTACCAGTGGGACATTTTAAAACAAGTGGTGAGCATAGGAGAAAACAGCTTAGCCAGAATCTTTTTCTGAGCTGTAGCCGTAATGTTGATTTTCTCCTGTCTCTAAGAAACACTTATTTTGGAACCATCTCTGTTCCTCCTGAGCTTGATAAGATCATTGATAAGAGCTTGATAAGATCATTAACATTCTACCTGTCTCTGTCGTTACTCCCTTTTAAGGCTTTGCCCCCCAAGCTCTTCTATCTACATCTGCTTCTGTGTCTTTATGTTGTTCTACAAGTGTGCTGCAGGCTTTCAGAGAGGGCATAGGAAAACTAGGGAACTGCTGTTTGCAGAGTGCGGGGCTGTGTGTCTCCAGGATTGCTGTCAGTCTTACTGTAGTGCAAACCAAGGAGAAAATTTAACATTGTTCTGTAACTGGAAAGAAGAAAATCCTTCAGCAGAAGCCTGCTTTACCATTCATATTTACAGCTTCCTTAGCAGAACCAGGTAATCAAGAAATGTTATAGACAGAATGTTGTGGAGAGTTCTGAAAAGATCTTCCTGATGAATGCGCTTATCATTTGTGCATCTGGAATTTGTATGCCCATAGAGCCTTTGATATTATTGGGATTCTGATGCTTTTGCTAATAGTTTTAATTAAACCTGCATGATTCAGTCATCAATAACATTACCAGCTTGCAGTTATTTTTCATCTGCCTGTCTTCCTGAAATCCTTGGTATCATCGTGCCTCAAGCTTTGTAAATTTGTCTTCCTCATATCATCATAACTCAATCTAAAGTCATTCTAACTGATCAAAGCAACATAACTCAGAGCTTTACTGCTAGTACTGTTAGTACTAATGCCTCTTTTTTTTTTCCTTACCACGCTACTGTGTTTTCCATAGACTTTAATAGGATCAATGATGTGCATATCTGGTTGCGTAGCAAATAAGCAGGAAGATTAATTGTTGTATGCATGCCTGTGTATTTCAGTGTATGGAGAAGCAAGCTCTGGTGTGCATTGGTTTACCAGAAATAGAATCATAGAATGGCCTGGGTTGCAAAGGAGCACAGTGCTGATCCAGTTCCAACCCCCTGCTGTGTGCAGGTCACCAGCCAGCAGCCCAGGCTGCCCAGAGCCACATCCAGCCTGGCCTTGAATGCCTGCAAGGATGGGGCATCCACATAACATTGCTGCTTTCTTTGCAAGTATTGGCAGTCACTTGAGGTTTGATCAAAAGTACTTCTAAAGCTTATTTGCTCTGCCTCGTGACTGGGGTTTTGTAAAGAAGAATTCAAACAGGTGATGTTTTGAGATACAAGTGACACGTCCTGTCAGTGAATCCTGTAGGACTGTAGTTGATAGGGGTGATTCTCTTCCTTGGGATTCTGAAGGAAGAGGAAAGCAAGGTGTTCAGTGCCAGTTCCTTGATGTGACTTTTTTTCTCTCTTTTTTGAAAGTTTGGTCTATTGAAGGGGCATGTGCACGGCCTTAACTGCCTGTTGCTTTCCAAAGATTCTGTATGGACTGAGAAGCGTGAACCTACGCCATCAGGCTGCACATAGGGTCAGATTCTGGTAAGTAAAGGTAAACTTTAAAAACTCCTGTGTGAGGGAGGACATTCCCATGAGGCAGAACAGTACTTTGTGAGGAGTTTTTCCTGTAGATTTAACTATCATTGAGCAGAGGGTGTTAGTTACAGTGAGACAGGTGAACTTCTCTGTTAATAAAGCTCAGACTAATGTAATCAGTTTTATGGTAATTTATAATCTGTATATTCCTTGTCTCCGTGGGCTTTGTGTATTAAGAATAAGACTTATACCCAAATATAAATCACTCCTACAATCCTTAACTGTGTGCTTCAGTGTCCAGGAGTGTGTTTTATCTACCATTTAGTTGTTCATCTTACTGCAGTCTCCATTGATCCTGCGGATGCAAAAGTGCGAGAAAAAAACTATCTAGGGCCTCTGGCCACCTTCAATCGTAATCAGCATGCACATGTCATTGAAAACCATCATTGCCATGTCTGTGATGTAAATGTGTAAGTATCTTCTCTTCTCTTCCTACTAATCTTTCTTCTTCACCATTGCACTTTGCCACTGGACGCTTCTTTACTGTTAGGCTGTGAGGTTGAAGTCGAGTTCCTGAAGCTCTTAGCTCGGCAGTGCCAGTGAATCCTCATTCCCTGGGTAGGCGTCCACTGTCAAATGTGAGCGTGGTCCTGTGTGTGACTTTATTGCTCTCATGTCGTGTGGAGAGGACTCTGCTGCTCTTTGTTACCTGGACGTTGGCGTTGCATCTGAGAACAGTGTGTAGCTTGGATGTGTGTGCTTGTGTTTGGCTAGATCCCAATGTGCTAGCAGAAATGCCTGGAGGGCAGGTTGTAAGGTGAGGGTCTGCAGAATTGCTTTAGGTTTGAAAACAAGAAAGCAGTGATCTCCGAACTAGAAATCACACAGTGCATTAAAAAAAGCAAACTTTGCAGTGTTTGGGATCGTGGTCCAGCAATAGTGAATACAGCCATTATGTTGGGGAATTTACTTATTCTTCTTGTAGATATGGTTGGTTCCCAGGCTCTCTGCTGCTCTGCTCCCCTGTACTTGTGTCCCTGGTAAAGGCATGCCTCTCTAACACCACCTTTTCTTTGGCAGGAGTGCCAAATCGAAGCACTGTGGATCTTGCAACAAGTGTGTGCGTGGCTTTGATCACCACTGCAAATGGCTCAACAACTGTGTGGGAGAGAGGAATTACTGGTAAGGGCTTGGCAGTGTGGCAGGAACACATCGCTGCCTCAATAATATCCCCAGAGAAGTCTGATGTGCTCTCAGCCACACAGAACCACTTTTCTTTTAGATCTTAGCTGAATAAAATCAGTCATGAAAAAACGAGGTGTAAAATGCAAGCACTGCTGTGACATCCACATAACCAGGGATAAAATCCCTATGCTTAGTAGTAAAATGTCTACAGATGAAAACAGAAAACTTGGTTGTCTTAAGTGGTATTAGGAAAACATGATGGGATGTTAAGTGGGTGTCCGTAGTGCTTGTGATAACTGGAGTGGGAATAGGTCCATGATCGTGCTGTTGTTCCCATCTCTGAATCCAAACTGCTTTCCCTCCAAGATTTGCCAGTTGGCAGCAGCACACACGCAAATCTAATCTATGCCAGGTTTAAGGTAAGGAATAAGGAGGCTCACGCTGATTATTGCTTCTCTGCTCACTCTGCTGCACTAGAGCCACATGTGGAGCAAAGAGTTGTTACTGCTCAGTGCCACGATGTGCTGCCTTGAGATTTTGTGCAGGGAGCTCTTTTTCTATCACACATATACTTGACTGCTTTCTAACTACAGTTGTTTCAAGGCTTTCAGTTATGTTAGGGCATGAAACAAGGCATCTATGAAAGTGCCACAGTAATAAGGGATGGCTGTGTATATCTGTCTCTTGAATTGTGTCTGTGGTGTTACTGGAGCCACTCAGAGTTCCCACTTCTTTGGCAGGTTCTTTTTGAACAGCGTGGTGTCTGCCATCCTGGGCCTTGGGCTTCTGCTGCTCATTGCTTTCTACATCTTTGTTGAGTTCTTCCTTAACCCCACGATGCTTCGTTCTGACCATCACTATGAAGGTAAGAGCAGTGCATCCTGGGAATCATGATGGTCTCCTCTGGGGGGCCAGTGTGTGAGATTGGATTCTTCCACACTCTTCTCCTTATTCCTTCAGTTGTACAAGTGTCTGCTCAGCTGATGGAATGTCTCTTTCTTGCACCCACTAAACTGCTCTTCCTAAAAGCCTTGCAGCACAAAGTTTCTTAAGCCTCACATGCATAATGGGCCTGCAACCCATTTTGAGTTACAAATATTTCCAGCTGTAAAGTTGAGTTTGAGACACTGCATGGACAGCCTGCAGACCTCCTGCTGCTTTTGTTTTACAGGCCTGAAGAACCACACGGATGTTTGGTTTGTGTTTCTGCCTGCTGTTCCTGTTGAGACTCGGGCACCTGCCATTTTGTTCTCAGCTGGGACTTTCATTCTTTTGAGCCTGGTGACTGTGAGCCTGCTAGGCCACCTCTTGACCTTTCACATCTATCTTAGTAAGTATTCTGTTCCTCTCATCCGCATCTCCATTTCGTTTTTCTTCAGCTACTGCTTGTTCTGCATTCCTTGTGTGTTCATCCATGTTACAAACCTACAAGATTATCACTCAAGAGGTAGAAAGTAGGGGGTTTAACCTTATACATTTTGTGTCTTTGCAAAAGGTGGATTGGAGCCAGTGAAAAGCCTTTTCCAGCCTGAGTCAGATTCCTCAGAAGCATTTTTAAGACATTATCTTGGAAATTTCTAGTAAGAAATTCCATCGATACAATTTCCTTCATTCAGAGCTGAATCTTAGAAAGCATACAAGACTTTAGAATCCAGATAAACTTAGAGTTCACTTGTTGAACTGCATCAGTAGCCATTTCCAGAATGTGCTGTTTGGACAGTTGCAAGTAAGTCTTGAAGGTTAAATGATGGCATCTTAAATGGAAGAAATAAAAGAAGAATTGTAACTAAACTGTTCTTGGCTAATATAATAGTGAGAGACTGAAAATGCATATCATTTTATGTAGTCCATAAGAAGCTTATCTGGGTCACATTTTATGTGGTTATAGGTTGGTAGAACATCCCAGCTGGTTCTGTGTAATGCCATTTGGTGCTGCAGGGCTTACCAGCTGAGACACAGCATGGTGTGAGCAAGGTGCACTCACATGTGCAGTGCCATTCTCTAGAGCCAGTGCTTCTGTGATACAAGAGATCCTGTTTCTCTGGTCTCATGTTCTGCTGAGAAGCCCAACTCCCAGATCAGATCCCATTATGGAAGTTGTGCTGTGTTGACACAGAATGACTTGTGGGACTCAGAGGGAGAAGCTTTCAGAAAAGCTCCTCATTAGGGCTCCTACTCGGTGCTGTATCAGGAGGGACAGTTTTGGTCTGGAAGTGCAAATGGTCATCAAATAGCTTTTTTTTCTGTCACTGTCTGGAGTGGAGCCTGTGCTGTTTGCATTCTGTAAGTCATGATGAGAGAAGATCCTGCACTTGCAGAAGTCAGTGGGGTCAAAACTAGGGAAGGAGGGATGTGCTGGAAGAGAGGTGGATCGTTAGGCTGTCTGTAACAGTGAGACAGAAGCCAACACAAACAAGGTCAGCACAAACCAGTGCAGTTCCAGATGGGTCACAGTCCTTGGTTTTGCTTTCTTGTAATTACAAGTTGACTTTTATCAGGTTAATGGTGATGCCTGGAGATTTTCAAGGTTGATCTACCACTACAGACTAAAGACTGAAAAGCCTCGCAGTGCTGGGGCAACTCCAGGAACGTTTCCTTTGGCTGAAAAAGGCAGCGTTATTCTGTGCAGTGCTGACCTTGCAGCACATTACCTTGTCTACCCGTACAGCTTCCACCAGAGGGTGCTCCTTCCTTGGGATAACGGTGCTCTTCCTCTCGTCAAGCAGTAATGTTCTGTGTGTAGAAACCAGTTCTGCTCTGATGTTTTTTATTGTTGTCTGGATGTGAATTATTTGTCCTCCTTCAGGACCAATTTGAAGGCAAATTAACTTTTAGTTGTGACCCAATTTAATGTGATCTTTTCAGAATGGCTGTCCTGGCTTTAATTACTCGCTGCTGTCACAGTAGGTTGTTCTCAAGGCAGTTGATCCGTGTGATCACAATTACATCTTGACTGAGATGCAGTTGCAGAGGCACTCGGTGAAGCATGGCACATGGGAAGTTTGCAGAGAGGTGTTTGGTTTTCTTTTTAATGACGTGCTGCAGTGCTGTCTGCCAAATGCAGTGCTTTTGACTAAATAGCCATTTAACAATATTGCAGAAGTTGCTCTGCTTAGTATGCAGAAACCAATGAATTCTAACCCAAGAATGGTTTGTACCCATGTTCTGTTTCTTAAATAATGCATATAGATGCAATTCTTCTAGCATTTCCAGCACTCTGCACCTTCCTCATTAAATACATTCTCCGATCACTTGGCTGCAGGCTTGCATTTGTTTTTATGGTCTGCCTTCCTGGCCAAATGCATCTTGGATTCTTTTTTCTTCCTAAGGCCATTGCTTACCTCTGCTCTCCCCCACTTCCCTGCAGTGTAGCTGTGTGTCTGGAGCGTGGTTCTGAGGGATAAGGCACAAGTGGAACAAATGAATTCAGGCACAGCAGAGATTTTAGCCTAGATGTCCCACATCCTGAGCGTCTGATTTAACTACATGCTACTGTAAACAGGAATAATGCTTCCAGACTGCAGCCAGAAGCTGCAGCATCCATTTCTGGCTTCTGTGTTCTAAAAATACTACGACATCATGAGGGGACGAACGCCTTAGTTTTGAATCCCTGTAATGTTTGGAGTCTCTTGAGGAAAGCAAGCTGCTCAGAAATGTCAGTTGCTTTTGCTCATTCATGGAAGCAGATGTTTGTGTCTGCAGGACGTTAAGAGCTCATAAACTCAGGCACATATAAACTTTGAGTCTGTTTGGCACAAGATGAATGGGCATCTCGTGCTCGCTATTTTGGACATTAATTATCTCAGTCTTCCTTCTGGGCTGCACCAACCTGCTGGCTTTCTTTTCTACGTTTGGTATGACTGCTCATCACGCAATGCAGATCTTTCAAGTATCACATCTGAAGAATGGATTTGCTCAGAAATGAGCTGAATGAATCTCTGCCACACAAAAGGCAGCACCACGTGTGTGTGAGACATTTAACTGAGCACTGTGACGACAACAGTAAAGGATACAGTAAGACAGGCAGTGCAAAGGTGCTTTTGGCTTGGAGTGTCAGTTTTCTCGTGTTTATAGTTGCCATTGAAACGAGGAGTTTTTCAGGCTGTTTGTGAGCTGTCGGTGCAGTCAGGAGTGGCCTTTCACACACTGACAGCTGTTCTCTTTCTTTCCTCCCAGTGTGGAACAAACTGACTACATACGAGTACATCCTGCAGCAGCGTGCCCAGCAAGAGGCCAAAGAAGCAGACAAGCAGCTGGATCCTTGTCCCTCCCAGGTGATGCCCACTCAGGTACTTGCTGCACTTGCAATCCACTTCCCATGGAACAACCTCACTCGTCGGCTGCGTAGAGCTTGCTTCAGTTTTGTATGCTTCAAATTGTAGAGGCAGCTGCTCCAGATAGGACTTTGGAGGCACCTCTGAGGAGCAGAGATGTGAGTAGGATGTGAGAGAGCCTACGGTCTGTAACTTGATGAGCACTTCAGGCATTAGCAAGTACTGCTTTCAAACAAATCAATCCCACCCACTCTCTTCTTCCACCATTTGTTCTGGGCCCTGGGCTATCTGTTCTCCTTTGCCAACGCAGCTGTTTGTTACAGTCATGCAGTGAATAGGGTGGGGGAACTCATCTGGGTAAGAAGAAACTTTATTAAGAAAGATAGTTGAGGTAGTGTTTAGCTGGGCCAGCTCCCTCCCATCTGGTTCACCAAGCAGTCACATAACTGCTTGTGTCAGCATGAAAGAGGATGACTGAAGAGTGGGCAGGTCCCGTCTCTGGAAAGGACAGGACCATCTGTTTTGGTGGCAGTGTGCATTTTGGTGGTCTGTGTGCATGGTGTTGTAAGTCAGGACTGAAAATGAGACAGATTCCAAAGCAGGAGAAACTGAGGTTAATCATCAGGCAGCTCGTATGGGCTAGTCTGACTATCTGGAAAAAGAAATGAGCATCAATCCTGTTCAGAAACGACCCTTTGAAGCTTTGTTTTCCTTTGAGATGAGTCTACACGGCGCTGAGGTCCTTGTGATTACCACCATGCTGATCTGTATTGCTGCAAAGGACTCCTCAGTCCTGCTGCACTGTGCAGTGCAATATATAAGGCTGATAGTCTCACGGAAAGGTTGGGTGTCATTTATTTTGCTGCAGGACAGCTTTGTCCCCGGGGGGCTCAAAATTTGACTGAACGTTTCTATTGGTTTGGATGGGGGAGCTGACTAGAAACTTCCAGTTCCTCCTAGTCTAAATTATTCTGGGATTCTGCAAGCCCTTGTAACTCTATCTAGCTTTATGAGTTGAGTGAGTTGCCTTCTATATAACTAGTTTTAAATTTCATAAGAAACTAATTAACTCCAAGCTTAGTCCACATCTTCTGTGAATTGGTCCTGGGGTCTCGCTGGACTCATTAATGGCTTTTCCCTATCAAAGGAAGAGGGAAAGTGAGCTAATTCCCTTTCTGTGCAATGTGGAGACCTCAGCTTCTCATATACATTTTTTGTTCCCTGCTGGGAAATGTGAACTTTCAGTTTGCAGGAAGGTTTCCATAACAGCGAGGATGTTTGGCGCTTTGTCTCGCACAGCTTTGCCTACCGTGACCATTAAAGCAGTAACGAAACAACAGCACTAACGACTTCCTGGTTACCAGATTTTAATCTCAGCTGAAAATACACCTGAGAAAGGTGAGCTGTGTGTGCCTCCGTTTGGGATGAGGCTGTTCAGCTGTGTTCTCCTGTCTGCACAGCTGCTTGTCCAGAAGCTGTGAGCACGGTTCATCTGAGGCTTGCAGCAGCAGGGTGAAAAGGAGCTCTGTTTCCCTGCTGCAGTCAGTACCTTGGGGAGCAGTGGGGACTGGAAGATGCCCAGTAACATTGTTGAGAGCACTGTTAACCCCCAGACTTTCCTTGTTCCTCGCGTAGCAACCAGAGATAAACACAAACAAATACATGGGGTAGGAGTACACCAAGTGACTCGCCTTGTGTAAGCTGCATTGACTGCTGCCTTCAGCTTGAGCACAGAGGCCCTTTGTAACTGATCCAAGATCTTGCAAGCATCAAATAGAAGTTGTGTTCTTCCCACCTTTGTCTTAACTGTTCTTTAACTACAGAGAGTAAGAAGAGATGCATTTCCCACTTTGCTGAAGCCTTCTTTAAGCCTGTGTGCTGGTTCAGCCTTTGGCTATGTTCAGGCTAAAGGATTACAGGAGACCTGAGCGTGGCCAGCGGTCGTGAGGTGGCACTGAGCTTTGGGAGCTGGGATTTCAGTGGGGCTAGCAGTCTGTTTGCAGCAGGGCAAAGAGCTGAACCCGAGTGAGCTGATGGGGAGGGGCAGCTCCATCAGGCTGGCAGCTGCCCAGCTGTGTGGGAGCTGAGGGATGCTGGGGCTCTGTGCTGTGCTTTCATCATGCAGAGAGAATGCTGCATTTTCTACTCATCGAGTCTTCTTCCATTTGTTCCTGCTTGTCAGCTCGGATGGGTTGTGTTCTCTGTGCAGCTGCTTTGGTTATACATAATTTAAAAGGCCAAAATGCACAAAATGGACTTTTAAAAGGCTCTTCTCTTGCATTCTGGGAAAGCATTGCTTGTGCTATCCTCAAGATGCATCTTGTTAACCTTCTTTGAAATACCAAGCCTGCGGTCCTGCTTGCTTGCTGTGGATATCAAATCCTGATGATTTCCCCTTGCTGTGCACAGTCTCACAAGAATATCTCCTGCTGCAGCAATTTCAGCACGCTGTGCAAGGAATGCCTGCATCTCCCCCTGCTTACAGTGACACGAGGCTGTGGCTGATCTCCTTCATTTGTGACTCAGGTGCATGAGGTTGGTGTGTCAGCGTTAGGAATTTGGTCTCCAAGGAGCTCTGAGGAACAACTCATGTACACCTGGTGCTCAGGCAATGACAACTGATGATCTGAGTTACAAATTCATTGTGAAATATCTGCAGACCATTAATCCTGCACTGGGATGAGCTCTGCTTTTCTTAGTGAGCCCCCAGCAGTACAATTCTCAGACCACAAAATTCTATTGTTTAAGGTTGCTGAAACCAATTTCCTTCAGTTTGATGCCAGCACCTATAAAACAATTGCAAATTTCTTTCTACATTTACAAAACCAATTAAAGTAAGAGCACTTTACAAAATGCAACAAGCCTGAACTCCTTCCAGCTCGGCAGCTCTCTTATCTACAATTACATGAGTACAGGGACTCCAGATCTCCATGCCAAGGTTTTTGAGAGCAACTAGTAATTTGGGAAGTCTCTCTGCTGGCACAGGAAGAAGAGTGACCAAAGATGAGCTGGCTGTGTTGCTGGGGATGTTGTCCCCAGTGCCCTCTGGCAGTGTTGGCAATGTGTGTCAGAGGCTTTGTACTCCCTTTGTATCTTGTAATTTCTTCTTTTCTCTGTGTAGCATTGAGGGGTTTCACATGCTGTTTTATGAGCCCATAACTCAAGACTACAGGAGTCTTCTGCAGCTCTTTACAGTTGGCTTTCATATTTACTGCCTTACATGAGGCAGCATCATCACAGATCCATCATTTGGTCTTCCAGCCACCCCAACTGAGTGCTTCTGGGGGAGAACCAGGAGCCCTTTTCTGTAATTTGGATACTTGAATTTAGGGGGCTTCTTTGTCAAGCCTTCTTTTATGCTTATAAGAGTGTGCAAGTTGAAAATAGCAGTGCCACATCCTTTGCTGAGTTTCAGCTGTGGTAGCTGCAATGACAAAATGCTTGGCGTGGGGGAGGCAGAAAACACCCCTGTAGTGAAAATCCTTCTCCCCTATGTGTCCCTCGTGTTCTGAAAATGTGAATTCTCTCTGTCTGGTCGTTTCAGGAAGCAGATTTACTTTCAACTACTAACCCTGGCCATACAAACCCTGGTGTTCAGGTAGAGGACTTCTCAGCAGCCAATTCAGAGAAATGGTGAGTCTCCCAGAGACGTGTGTGTGCTGAATGGGAAATCATCCCTGCAGTCTAAAGAGCAGAAGGAGCACCAGTGTTTCAACCAAGACATGCTGAGTTCATTGAGTTTCAGCAGGGCAAATACATGCAGGAGTACTTACCTCCCTTCCTCTGGGACAATAACTTTCCTGGAACTAGAGTTTTACAATAAAATTACTTTAAAGCTGCCTGAAATAGATCTGGGAGCTCCACTTCAGCTTGCTGCAGTGTGACTGAAGGAGGTGGTCTGCTTTGTGAGCATCTGAAATGAGAAAGCCTGCTGACTTTGTGATTCAGGCTTAGAGAGCTCTGGAGTGAGCTCTCACTCATTCCGAGTGAGTATCTGGGTTGTCTTGGAATTAAACTGAATGCTCTGCTGTTGGGCTTTGAGAGGTGATTGTACATGGTAGCTCACTGTACCTTGTGTGTGCTCACATCCTTGACAAGGCTGAGGCTCTTAGCAAGAGGGCTAACTGAAGGATGAGGTGTACAAGGTAGAAAGGGGTTCCACTGAAATGTGCTCTGACTCTGTGCATTTTTGCACATGTCTCAGTTTATCAGCTGGTCGAGTGACCTGCTCAGCATTATGCCCTAGCCTGCTTTGTGTCAGAAAATCCAGCCTTGGCCCATTTCCAGACTCCCTAGAATTTTTTTTTCTCAAGTAAATTAAAAGGAATCAGGCTGAAAAAAACATTTCAGGTTGTGTCTGTGCCCATTTACTGCCCCCACATTGGAATCTTTCTTCTCAGGCCATAAGGTTTTTCTCTCAAAATCGAGTTTTGGCTCTGTGTGGAAGCCAGGTGATGGTGCAGAGCACTGATAATATCCACTGCTAAGAGCCACTGCATCACAAAAAAGGGTTTCTTCTGTTGCCAGCTCAACCTTCTGGTTTTGTCCCACAGTTCCTGTATTGAGCTCAGTATCACTGTAAGATTTCAGGCTGTCAGGAGGTGTGAATGACAATATGAATCAGTGCACTTTATGACATGAGGTGAGCAGTCACTGGAAAACAGCGTCCTTGTCTCTTAATTAAGCCTTGCCTATTAACTCATGTCCTTGGGGAAGGGAGAGGAAACTCTTGGTGTTTTGTGCACAGCTGCAAGAGCAGCGACCCTGCAGTCATGCAGGGCGTGCAGTGCAAAGCAAGGGCTGCCTTAGCCCCATTGAAGCTGGCTCTGTGCAAGAAAGGTGGACATCACAGTTCAGCAGTGTCTGAGGGAAGCATCTGATGTGCCTGTATTTAGCTTTTCAAAGCTCTACGCCCACACCAACGAAGCCGATCCTGAATGCAGCTCCTCTCCTGACCTCCCATCTCTTCACTTTGCGGCCCCCGTGCAGGTAAGCAGGAGTCCTTCCGTGTGCTCTGCTCTCTGATGGTGATCCATCAGGCTGCATGAGGACAAACTCGCCCTGATGCAAGCTGTGCTTAGCTCAGTGTGTGTGCAGGGCTCAGTGTGTGTGCAGGGCTCAGTGTGTGTGCAGGGCTGACTGTGCCCTGTGGTCGCTGCATCCACACGGTGCTCTCCTGCCTCAGCTCCCACACGTGAGCAGATGCATTCTTGCTTCTCAGACTTGCAGCTGAGCTGTAACACGTGGAGCCTTGCACAATATCTCTCCGTTCCAGTGCTGTTCAGTGACTGCACACACCTGTGTGTGCTTCTGTACAGCAAAATCCAACAGCTTATGCATTCAAATATTGGAGGTTAAAGCATCTGCCCAGGGGAATAAGGCGTGCGTGAGTGTGAGGCTTTAGTGCATGAAATAGCTGCCCAAAGGGATGTTGTCTGCTTTTTAGAATTCATTTACCTGCATCCAGATGCTCTCCCCATTTCCTCGGTGGCTGATAGTGGTGCTCTCTTTTCCTCTAAGCTCATTAATCAATTTTGTCATCCAGATGATAAGAAAAAAAATCCTTCTCTGCTAGACTTGTATCTTGGACAAGGGCCATCTTGGTATCTCTCTCTTGGTATGTCACGTGCTGTGTGACTTTCTGCCTTCTTGCTTTCTCAGAGACAGAAAAAAAGGAGGAAGAAGATGTTAAGGACTTCTTCCTCAGTGATGGAGAGCAGATCTAAACCACATGCTGGAACTTGGGCTTCTTTTCCAGGTCCCCAGTCAGGTGAGTGTGCAGCACCCAGCTGCTTTGCTCTGTAGCTCTTCCAGTTCACTGAAATGTGAAGGATTTAATACAAACTTGCTTTTAGAAAGTAGAGACAAGGAAAAAAAAAGCAAAGAACGGAAACTCCCTGGAGAAGAGCAGATATAAACTTTATTTGGAAGCATCTGTGTTGTGCAGAGTTAATGGGGTTGTGATGCCAGCTTTTCCTTGCTCTGTATCAGCTTTAAACATGCTGTTTCTTGGAACTGTTAGTTCTGAGGTAGCTGAGAAGCTCCCAGTCATTGTACTCAAGGTGTTACTGCAGCAGCACAGTTAAACAGAAGCAGTGCTCATTTCAGTTCTGTTCTCCTGAGGAGGAAGGCACAGCAAAAAAAAAAACTGTGGTGGCAGCTGTACCATGGAACTGCTTTCGTTTTTAAAGGAGAAATTGGTCAGATGAGCAAGAGGGAAATGTGCATCTTCATAAACAGTGCTAGGCTGCTTAAGCAGCTGTGTCAGCAGCACTGAGGGCCGTGCTGAGTGGTTCCCAGCTGCTGGATGGGCCGTGTCAGAGCTGACATCTGCAGGGCTGACGGACCTTTCCCTCCTTGACCTTCCTTGTGTCTTTCATTCCATCTGCAGAGCTTCCAGCCACAGCTGCTGCCACCCCCTCCTCCCCCAGCCCTCTCCTCCTGGTGCCCACCATCCCCCTGCCTGCTGCAGTGCAGGCAGCAGCACCCCCAGCTGACTATCACTCCGAGTCTGCCGAGTCCATGGATGAGATCCCTGTGGCTCAGACTCACCTGGGCAGCACAGCCCTTCACGGCCCTTGTCAGAGCAGCTCAAGCAGTGCTCGGCGCTGCCCCCTGTCCACACCTGATCCCAAACACTGCAAAGGGAAGAGTCTTTATTCTGGGCACAAGGTGAAAAGGAAAAGCTGCCAGCGAGACAGAGGCGTGGAACGAGATCTGGAACTTTTTTCTAAGACTCCTGCCGTGTTTGTAAGTAAGAGCAGTGGAGAACCTCGTGTCTCTCAGCCCCGAGCTGATGGGAGCACATCTGAGCCACAGCACAGAAAATGCACCAGCAAACAGCATCTGGGCAGGCGTGATCCCTGCCTAAAGGACGTGAGGACAAACACCGCAGTGCCCGAGTGACCGTCCTTCCGAAGCTGCAGCCTTTGGGGGTGAAGCAAGATGTTCTTTTTCTATCTGTGTGCTGCTGTTCGAAGGTTTTTGCTCCAGCAATTCATTCTCTGGTGACTGCAGCGTCCCTGGGTGTGATGCTGTCCAACTTCCAGCACGCTTAGCTGAGAGGCAGCAAAAGCCCTGCTGCATCATGTTCTGCATTGCCATCGTCTCTCAGGGTGAGGGAAAATGGCCTTAAGTTGCACCAGGGTAAGTTTAGATTGGATATCAGGAAAAACTTCTTTACAGAAAGGGTTGTTAAGCACTGCAATGGGCTGCCCAGGGAGGTGGTTGAGTCACCATCCCTGGGTGTGTTTGAAAACCATTTGGATGTGGTGCTCAGGGACGTGGTTTAGCAGAGGGTCGTTAGGGCGGTTTGGTTGTGGTTGGACTCCATGATCTTTTAAGGTCTTTCCAACCTGAGCAATTCTATGATTATGGCTGCTGCCTTCGGAGCTAGGACTGCCCCAAGCCTGTTTCCACTCTCCTTGTCAAGGGGATCAGGTTTTGCAGCTAGAAAGTGCCCAGGGCTGTGTGAGGTGGGCGCTTTGACGTGTTGCCAGAGGGAGCTAAAGCAGAGCATTCTCCATAGGAAAGGGCTGTGTGCTCCTGACGCTCTGCAGACCAACACTGCAGTAAGTTTAATGCTGTAGGGTAAAACAAGGCTGCATCTCCACTCTCTGTTGATACCCCAAAAACTCAATTTTCCATCTTCCCCAACCCAGGCTTTGGATCAGGGCAGGGCGCCTCAGCTGGTAGTCAGGGAGTGACCTGAGGATTGTTCTGTCCCTGCACCACTTTCCTCTGTGCACCTTCAAGCCAAGTTCACCAGCGTGTACTCTAAAGCAGTGTGGTCTGACCTGCTCAGCTGTGTCTTTCCAGCAGCCTGGAGTGCCCCGCAGCGCAGCTTTCTCATCAGAAACTTCTGAGGATGCAGGAGGTCCCAAAAGCTTTTCATTTCCTGGGCTTGCCAAGTCAGTATTAACCCACAGCCCAAGCGTGGATGTTCTGTATTGCAAAAAATCCCACACCTGACACCAGGATCCAGTGCCTGGAGCAACTCCGTGGTGGTGGTGAGAGCAGAGGGCGATGTGGGCTGCAAAGCCTGTGCTGCTCCGTGGGCAGCATGCCTTGCTTTGCATTCCTGACTGAGCACTGGGGGCCGGGCTGCCAGGAAGCCCAGATCTGCCTAGCAGCCAGCTCCCTCAGAGCCCAGGATAGCAGCGGAGCAGTCTGCTGCACCTCGCCAGCAGCGCTGTGTGCCTGGCATCGTTCCTCACCTGACAGCTGCACGGCCTCTGTGGCCACCACCCAGAGCTGTGGTTGCCACCTTGGCTGCTTGCACCACGTCTAACAGCCCCTGCCTGGGTATGACGAGGAGGGCTGCGTGCCCTGAGCGCCAGCAGCTGGCCCAGTTCCCTCAGGAAGGGAAGGCGCAGGCGATGTCTGAGCATCCAGCTGCTTTCTATAGAGCACGTCCTGTTCCAGGGCCGTCTCTGGGCTCTCTGACCAGGAGTTTATTGTACTAAAGGGACAGAGAGCTGAGCTGTGCTGCTAAACATCTCCATGGGATGGAGAATGACCCCTGAGAAGTGTCCTGTGTGCTTGGATGGGCATCCCTCCCTGCTGTTTCTCCCTGTTTGCTGCCATCCAAGGGAGCTGCAGCCTGCAGTAGGAGGGCTTTCGAGGCCAGCTGTCCCCTTACTCACAAAGCATCAGACATCCATCTCCAGCAGGCGCCCCTGAGTAGCTCTGTGTTCTCTTTTGCCCATGCAGAACCAGCCCCAGAGTTATGTACGGAGCTCTTTATTAGCTCTGTCCACAATAAAGTTTTCTATGCCCTTTGCTAAATAATTTCCTGTTTATTACTTCTGGCAGCCGTTCGTTTCGCCGCCCTGTTGGTGATGCCCAGCTCTGCCATCCAGCACTGTGCCCACCAGGCTTTGCCCTTTGGCTGTGGATGGCTCTGGGGATGTTCAGAAGGGCTGCCTTCGGGAAGCCCACGGGGTTTTTGGGGGGCCCAGTGCTGCCATCTGTGTGCCAGCAGGGCGGGCTGTGCCACGGTGTGGGCTCTGCTCTGCACATAGCAGGACTTTGTGTGCGTGAGAGGTGTCTGACTTGGGTGTGTTGGGCGTTAAGGATGCGTGCCGTGCATCCAGGAGTGGAAATGGTGACGCTGGGATGTCCTCAGCTCCCAGGAGAGCTGCTGTGCCCCAGGAGAACGTCCAGAAGTGCCGCTCAGCATCTGGGCTGCCCCCCGCAGCAGGCTGTCCCAGCAGCAGGACGCGGTGCCCCGGGCTGCCCAGCTCCAGCAGGAGACACTGCAGCTTTTTAGAAGGAATGAGCGGCGCGTCCTCAGGATGCTGACAGCTTTCTGGGGCCCTTCCCAGCGCCGGGTTATAAATCATGGCCCCGTCCACCCCTTTGCTTTCATCATGCGGTGTCTTCTCTTTGAAGTCAGGGTGACCTTCCTTTGGGAAACGCCTTTGATGTGACCGTGCTGGGAGCGCCCCGAATGAGGGAGGAGGACGAAGCTGTGACCCCTGTGCCCCAAACCTCACGCCGTGGGGCAGAGCAGCGGGGCTGGGCACGCCTGCACACCCCGTGTGCTGTCAGACACAGCTAAGCCCCGCTAATGCCTTCTGGACGAGCTGTCTCCAGGGTTACCATATACATATTGCACAACCTCTGAAACACTTCCCTCTGTTTTGTAGCAACTTGCTCTATAGGAGCAGCGTTCCCACGTAACCTCATCCCACCCCGCTGCTCCCCGGTGGGCCGAGATCACTGGCAGTGCCCACGGGAGGAGGATGGAGTGCAGGGGGTGCGCGTCCCTGCTTGGGCTGCGCTCTGAGCTCAGCATCCTGCGGGTGACCTGGGGTGGGATGCACGCCTGGCGCAGACCAGGGTGAGCATCGGACCAGCGCTGCTCCACGGTGCTGGGAACACCCCGATCCCTTCTGGAAATCATCAGAAGGGGAAAGTCCCCGGGGTCTGGGCACGGAGCCATGGCTGTGCTCGGCCCGTGGGACCTCCTCCCTGGCTCCAGCCTGAGCCCCAGCCTCCTCCCGGCCTTCCTTCCTGTGTGTGGAGCTGCAGGAGCCAACAAGGACCTGGCTTTGACAGGGCTGTCATAGTGACAACAAACGCACAACAAACCCCGGCCCTTAGAAACCGAAACCTGACCTGCTCGACCGGCCCTTGGGGCAGCGATGGGGCAGCAGGCCCGGCTCGGCTCCGGGCCCTTCTCACTTGGCTCCCCAGATGTGCCAGCCCTTGTTCACCCAGATGTGTCGCCCCTCGGCTGCCACCCTTTGGCCGCCCAGACTCTGAGCTCCATCCCAGCAGATGTTCAGCAGTCCCTGGGGTGTCCGTTTGTGAGATGTGCTCGAGGGCATCCTGCTCTGGGCTCTCCATTGGACCAGATGACCTCCAGCCTACAAGAGCAATATGAGGCAGGCAGAGGAGGAGGGCTCGGTGGGCGCTTGGCAATAGAAGCATTTCTGCTTTTCTCTTAGTCTCCAAGGAGATTAAAAAAATATATCCATAAAATAGCAAGAAACATCCAACTTCCTCCTGGCTGCCACTCAGCGACAGCTTCTTATTGCATCTCAGCATGGCTCCATGGACCCCCATCCAGGAGCTCGGGTGTTAGGGACAGTTCTGCTCCCCAAGAGCGGTGAGGCAGTGGCACAGCTGCCCAGGGCTGGGGAGGATTCACCATCCGTGGAGGCGTCCCAGAGCCGCGGGGATGTGGCACTGAGGGACGTGGGCAGTGGGCACGGTGGGGTCGGGGATCCGAGAGAGATTTTCCAGCCTTTGATGACGGAGGAGTGAGGATGGAGGATGAGGGAGGAAGGACGGGAGAGGGAGGACGCGGGGATGGAGCTGCCGGTCCTTTCTCATAGAGCCAGGAGAGGCTCCGGGTGTCACAGCGGAGCCGGGTCCCCCCGCTCCCATTCCCTCCCGGCTCCCCCCGCACGGCCGCTGCGGGCGGACACCTCCGGCCGCGTGTCGGTCCGGGCAGGGCGGGAGGGGGCGGCCCCGCGTTCCGTCCCGCAGCCCCTCCCGCAGCCGTGGGCCGGCGCGGCGCCAGCGCGGGGCCTTAAACAGCGGCGACGGCGGCGGCCGCGCCCAGAGAGCGGCACCGGGAGGTGAGAGCGGGACAGGCACCGGGAGCCGGCGGGGGGCGGGGGGCACCGCGGGGCCGGGACCGCTCCGAGGATCCCGAATCCTCCCTTAGGGGTCCTCATCCCCCGGGGCCGCGCCTTCCAGCCCTAGCGACGGTCTCTAGGCAACGCAGCCCTGCCCTTAGAGACGGTCGCTGGGCAACGGGAGGGGGACGGGGGGGGGGGGGGGGGGGGGAGCCGCGCTGGCGACGGGCGCGGGTCTGGGAGCAGGCTGAGGACTGCGGGCGGGTGGTGGCCAGGACCGGGGTGGGCTGTCGCGCTCGCATCCCTGGGAGCCGCCGTCCCCGAAGACATCTCTCAGCCGTCGGCAGCATCCCGGTGGTGAGGGGCCGCTCCACCCCGTCCTGCGGCACCATGGCGGGGAGCTCTGAGATGGCATCGCTGGAGGAGAGCTTCCGCAAGTTCGCCATCTATGGCGACACCAAGGCCACGGGGCAGGAGATGAATGGGAAGAACTGGGCCAAGCTGTGCAAGGACTGCAAAGTCATCGACGGCAAAAGCGTCACCGGCACCGACGTGGACATCGTGTTCTCCAAAGTGAAGTAAGTGACTGGTTGGGGTCTCCATGGTGCAGTGGGTGTTGATTGTAAATCAGTGCAAATCTGCAGAATGGGAAGCTCAGATTTTGAAGCTCAGATTTTGAAGCTCAGATTTTGAGTCATGCACAGAGGAGGTGGGAACCCAGCTTCTCATCCAACATCCCAACAGGAGGATGCTCAGGGCTGGACAATGGGGTGTGGCACAGCTTTGAGCTCCGGGAGGGCTCTGACCCGGGGATGCTTTTGTGGTCCCTGTGAATGTGGTGGCAATCAATGCTGCACCAGGGTGTAAAAGTGACAATGGATGGGGATGCTGCTCCCCCCTCACTGCTGTCTGGGTTCTCTTGTTCCCAGCTGGAACCAAGTGACTTTGGGCAGGAACCAAAGTGATGCCAGTGGGGAAGAACAAAGCACAGCAGCTCTGTGCCAAGCTGGGCAATGAGGGGAGGTCAGAAGCAATGATGACAGATCACCATCCCATCACCAGTGCCCAAATCCCCAGTGAGGTTTAGGTACAGAGGGCTGTAACAC